TGCGATCCCGACGAGCGGAAGAAGTCCGTGAGTTTGCAGGGTCCCCGCTTGGTTTTGCGCTTCCCCGCCATTGTGGAGCAATACTGGGGTCAGGATCAGTCAGGGGTAGCAGAGTGGGAGTCCTCTGTGCTTGAAATCCAGCCCTAGGGATTACTCTGTGCCGGAGCTCTGCTAACCTGCGACCATCCGCCTCGGCTGCTGGCCACGCCCCATCCACATTGGCATAGTTGACATCCTATTATTATTATTATTGCAATAGAGTTTTTCAGGGATAGTTCCAGATTACATTAATAGTAAACCCTGGCATATGCCAGCAGGTGAATTGATTAAAGAAGCAGAAGAGTGTCATCATATTTTTCATAGCAATAAAATGACCATTTGTGTGTTTTTGGCTGAGAAAACACAGTCTCTGATTTACTTGAGCACAGAGAGAAAAAAATATAAGAGCCAAATACCAATGACGGTGTTAGAAAAGTTTGCTGCTACGATCACATAAGGTGAGCTTAGTCACTGTAACATGCTTGAAGCTGCCAAAGGTTTAAACAACCTGAAGACATAATGTTAACATTACAGTAATGTATTTGTTTTGCTGGTAGAGAATTTTGCATATTTAAATTATGCTGCTGGCGCGCTGGGAATGATAGGCTTCATTTTGTATGACCTTAGACGAGAACTCAACTCATCTAATGCATTCCAATTAGTTTGACAGACAATCTATACAGCAGAAAAGAATGAAATTTTGAGCAGGAGAGAATCCAGGGTCCTCTAAATTAAGGTACACAGTTATTAAATATAAGCGTTTTCAAATCAAAAATGTATTTGCAACCTACAAGCCTGCATCACAAGTACTTATTTATCTAAATAAACAACATTTGTCTCCAGCATGTATCTGTTTTTGTCTACTGTACATTATAATTAACGAAACCGCTAATGTCAGGATAGACCTGAAATGGGAACAATTGGTTCAGTCATTTTCTATTTTCAGGATGTAAAATGCATGGTGTACAAGATCACTCTGCATAACTGTACAGTAGTAAAATACAAAAAAGCCGTCTAGTAAAGCTGTGTTTTTTAAAGAAATATGTTATCATGTTTTCCGCCCTGCTGTCAACATAAAAACAAACCTGTAGTCCACTATAAACAGCAGATACCAGTCAAGTCCCACTATACACTACTTATAGCCACAAAACCCTCTTCTATCTACCTCTCTAAATAAGCCATGCCAATGGCAGTTCCAACATGCTATGACACTGCCTCAGTGTCCATTAAGGGCACTTTCTTGGGACAGGGAGATGACAGATATTGGAACTTAGCCATAAACTCAGGGAAAGTAAGCCTGCAATAATAAACTGAAACTAAATCAGAGAGGAATACATAAGGCCTGGTATTGCTAATAATCAGCACAAATCTTAGGCAGGACTTACAACTTTAAAATAGAGTTCACCCTAAAGCTCCTCCACTACCACATGTTGCCAGTTGTCCATCACTAACTCCTAAAGGCACTTCTTTGGGTAGCTTTACACAATACAGGTACTGGTGTGGCAATTCCTAACAGTTCCTTGCCTAAATATACAGACCTGTGCCTATTTAATAAGGCAATGAGCAAAATGTAGTAATTATTCAAAAACTTACAACATTTACAGACCTGACCACAATCACTTGAAATCTGATTAACTGATTGCTTTGCATCATTCTGAATCGTTTTGTATCTTTGGACTACTAAAGAAGTCTTTGCAATGTAATACAACTCTGCAGTCTGGCCGTACACGCCCTATGGCCAAGCAGCAGTCTAACAAGGCTGGTGGGAGGGTTTTCCAGCTTTACTGTTAAGTTGGAATCTAATGGAATGGAATCTAACTATCAATGACGCAACTATAAGATATCTGGTCTTATGTTTGGATTTCCATAAGGAAGGAGTCACACGGGTACTCAGTATGACCTCAATATGCACAATTTGCTTAATTATGCACATAATTTAAAATAAATATGCAACTGGCTTTCTTAATTGTGGATATATGATGTAAATATACTTTAAATCCTTGGTTCTCAACTGGTGGGTCGTGACCCAAAAATGGGTCGCGACCCCGTGTTCAGTGGGTCACCGCATGCCTTCCACTTTCCTAGGCAAGAAGCTCCTCTGCCTCCCCTAGCGCAGCACTGTCAGTTCGGACGCCAAGCAGCCATGCAAAATATACTGCCCGGTGCCGAATGTCAGCTTGAGGTGGGATAAGATTGGGTTATGGCTGTTGAGGGAGCTCCATCCATGCGTGCATCCTTCTCGTGTCCTGTAGAGGTGCCTGGACCGGAGTTGTACAAGCAATGCACGTATGGATGGAGCTCTTTCAAAGCACAGCAGCCCACACTGCACCCAGGCTGAGGATCTACTTCAGTTCTCATAAGGGTAGGGAGACTGAGTGGACCTAAAAAATAAAAATAAGAAACATTAAAACATTTTTGGGTGTGTATGTGTGTGAGAATGCCTGAGTGTGTGAGATTGTGTCTGTATGCCAGTGTTTTTAAGGGCCCGTTCACACTAGCACAGTGTGTTAATCGCATAGTCCTCTGCAATTAATACACTGTACGACACAATGGCTCCTACCGCGCGTTCTGGTGTGGGAGGTGTGTTCTATTGCCATTCCTTTGAATGGTACCCCAAACGCACCTCCCACCCACAGTTCGTACGCCCGCACCAAAATGCATGATACTCTAATGTCGTGCATTCCATTGCAGTGCGACTTAGGTCGCGACTTAATGACCAAGGACCGATGTGGATCCTGAGGTTACACAGGTTGAGAACCACTGCTTTAAATCTACTCAACTGCTAAACAATCAATGCTTCTCTTCTTTCAAATGTCTTCCTTGTGCATATAGTCCTCATACAAAGAAGTCAAACTGTATCATGTCCAGATGGATACAATATATATTTGAAAAGCAAGGCAAAACGGAATAAGATAGATAATGCATACCATTTGACATGATTTATCATTTTACTGTCCTAGGAAAGGAATGATTAGTCTGAAGAAGTGTCCTTCTACATAATGGAGACAGACATTCTGAGAAGTGAAAAATAGGCATGGGATCGGAAATATCCTGACTGTTTAGACAGTTTGTGGCCCAGTGATGTAAACATTTTCTAGTGAACTAATGGGTTCACTATCCATTTAACACACTGTTTATCTGCCTCCAGTTGCTTTAAATTACCTATATATTTGACAACAATTCCTAAAGACTAAAGCTTAGTCCATAATTAAAGTTTACCATGCAAGTAAAACCTAAAGAGTAATGTATCATTCATAAAATCAAGCTGCCTGGGGAGTGTGCAGTAATAACCACTGTCCTCTCATCTATTCTACATTCATATTCAATGAATACTACAAAGCCAAGAAAAGGATCCTAGTATTTAATTTAATAAAAGTTAATACAAATTTCATATAAGGTGTTGTGCTGGAAGCATCGATAACACAATTATCTTGCATGCCTCTGCTGTCAAAATATTTTAAATGCGTTCACTGATAGTTAAACTTTATTGATCGGATTAATAACCCAAATAAATGCACACTAATCATTTTAGTCAAGGATGAAGTGGTGCCCTTTATAAACTGTCAAGGCAATGAAAACTGGTCACTGGTGTTTTATGAACAACACAACAAATATATTTTTTTTATGAATTCACATATATTTAGTTACAGCATATCAGCTTGATTTATAATTCCAAAGTAAGAATTAGATAAATGTGCGTGCAGGTTAATTAGAAAACCAATTTAGTTTGACTTTAAATGACAACTGCGACTTTGGTACAAGTTGTGCTTTTAAGAAATGCCCCTACCCCCGTGAGTGCAGCCTGCCTGAATAAATACTTACCTTCGTCCTTAATCCAATGATCTTGACTTGCTTTAGAAAGCATCCCCCCTAGGTTCTCTTCATCCTGCTCATGTGCACTACACCCCATTGATATAAGTTTTGGCTTCAGGTAGCCTCAATTATATAATAATTAAATTGGATTTCCATTTTGCCTGTGGGGAATTAATTATAGTAACGCTTTCACAGACCCAAGCACTTGAAGCACAGAGGGACTAAGTCCTACTTCTGTTTTTCCACTGTATGATTCCTCATCCAAGTCTGACCCTTGAAGTAATCTTATACTCCCCAACTGTTACGTTCTTTATCCAAGTCTTATGTGCATGAAAGGTTACCAAACCCACCCACCACCTCCCAGGATCCTTGCACTCTAAATGTAGACATGCAATTGCAAAGCTCTCTAGAGGAAGATGGTGAGCAGCTGCATTGCATGGCCCACCCCAGCCCCCTGCCCTTGTCAGGTCCAGGAGCTGCAGTTGTTTCTACTAGCCGAACTGCCTATTGTCAGGGCCTAATTCCCTCCCCTCCTCTGACTGCTGCCAAAGCCAATCCCCAACAGGCACACATCCTGATGCTTCTCTAACACCACAACAGCCTGAAACCCAAATTTGCTGAATTGATTCGCAGGAGATGCAGTTGCCGCTGCTGGCCAGCCTGCCTGTTTTGCTTTTCCTACATTTCATTGATGCTAGAGACAACCCAAGAATATATATGTCTGTGAATGATGTAATTGTCATGTCTTCCATATATTGTAAAGCGCTGTGCAAACTGTTGGCGTTATTTAAATCCTGTACAATAATAATAATCCCTGCCCAAACACACTTTCCTGCACACCACAGCATGCCCTAAAACCCAGCTCCTATTTTCTGCAGTTCCTGGGAAGAGGGTTGTTAAGTTCACAGAATATCATCCTTCTTTCCTAACACCCATCTCTCATTAGCCACCCACTGTCACCACCTAACACTGTTCCAGTCAACCCCACTCTCACCACCTACTAGTGTGCAACACCCCCCACCCCACACACACAACTCCAACTGCCAGAAGGTTCTTACAATGCTAAATATGTATTAATAAATACAAAGATGCATGTATTTGTTTTTTATACCTGCCTGGAGGTCAGCTTTAAAATACATTATACATACCTTCCGATGATTTCTACATCTGTCACCAAGAAATGTTTCGTCTCTTCAAGCCCTCTTTCTGGTTCCTATATAAACATATAAACACTTGGGTTATAAAAAGTAAATGACATTCCAAGGGCACATAATTTGAACCCATACCTTATACAGCATTTGAGAATTAATTTTGTTGCTTACATTTGAAGATTAGGAATGTCACACCTTAACAAAAACGCAATTGATCCTGGCTTCTACAAACTGAAAATTGTCCCTGTTTTTATAAATTAGAGGAGCATGTCTGTGCTGAAAATACCACCTAGTCAAATCCAATCTGATCTGTCAAAATGAAAGCTGTAGTATGACTGGTTGCTAAGAGAAACTCTTTTGGATTTTATAAATCAGTCCCAGCATATGAGATATACTGTATGTTCACAATGGAATCCATAGCAGTCAGTGACACAAAAATATCATCTGGATGGGGAAATTTTACACATAGTAATCTCTCTTTGTTTCTAGTGAATAAATCAGATGTTAAAAGGTGAAACTGCCATTCCCCGAGAGTATACAAGGAGCCAGCCTAACAGTAGCCATACACGCAGCAATTTATGATTGACTGAGGCATAATTGATCACAAAAAAGCAAAATGCTATTGATTAAACTGTCAAGCAATGAAACAAACATGGTATTGTTGCACATTTTTGTGACTGACTGAAAATACTGAATGGATAATGTAAATTGAAAATTATACATAAATCGGTCTAAATAAGGGTCAGTTCGCACACACGCAGACATGTGCTTGACCAATCTGAAGCTTTCAAAAAAATTCTGCAAAGGCCGTAAGTCTAAATCGATCCAATGAAGGTTCTTGGGTTTGTAATTTTCAATTCCACCAATTTAGTTGTACTGAAGGATCGGCTGAATGATTATATTAATATCTGTGTGACTTCCATTAGGCAAAAGGTGCTGAACTGGCTGTGTAGCCTGAGTTGCTTCACAGCAGTCCAAAGACCAGAGTACTGTTTGGGTAGTACAAGAAGATCCCATTACAGTGCAATGGTAGACAGCAAAAAAAAACACCACCAGTAGACCGCAACAAGATGTGGCACAGGTTTACCATCATCGGGGACATCACAGAAAGTGATGCAACCTACGCTGATTACATCAGTGGTTATGTGATTTCTGCTGTTTACAAAATAACACTGTGTCAAACATTAGAAGAATCTGGAGAGTTGTGATTAGCAGGAGCTTTCAGGCATGGGTGCCCACTAACCCACTTCAAAAACTTTTGCTATTGTGAGCATATATGAGGTAATACAGCTAGCAGATAAGAAAAAGTCAGTTTTCAAAGCAGCCTTTATCATCCGATGAAACCAATGACCTTAGAAAGAGAGCATTAAACAGAATGTAGTAACGCATAGCAACAAATCAGAATTAATCTTTTCCTGGCTTGAAAAGAGTAAATTGAAATTGTATCAGTCAGTATGGTTTACTGCACTTTACATATAACCATAGCCCTTGTTATTACATAAACCCAAACATAGATAGTAGCACTTGAAAAATGGTAAGAATGGTAGAGCAATGGACAAAGGAACCACAACTAATGGTCCACAATGTATAAAACAATAAAAAGACCAAAAAAAGTCCTATTGGATAGCATAATCCCAGGGCCCTCTCAGGATCCAGAAGAGGACCAACGTCGGCAGAGGGGAGTGAAGGGGACCCCCACCTGCAAACTTAGGTGAGTACATCTGCCATCACAAAGTAAGGGGAAAAAATGTTAGTAAGATGGGTTAGAAGTGAGTGGGAGGGAGGAGTTGGAAAAAAGTAATTTTTGTGTACAGTTCAGTATAAATCTAGTTCAAACACCAATAGTGTTCAGCTATCAATTTAGACAAATTTGGATAATCACTGTTGTAATTGTGACTTTGTATTTCCAGCTGTTCTGGGGGTGCTATAATTGCTATAGTCATATAGCTTGACTGTGAGTCCTAAGATATGGTCATTTGCTGAGTTAAGCACATTCTTGGAACAGAAGGAGAGGAGCGCAGACATTTTTGGTATTTTTATCGTTTTAAACCCATACATAGGTTGACAGTGTATATAAATATAGACAAAAAGCTACACAATTTCATATCTTAATCAGTATGCATAGTAGAAAACAAAATATTGTGAAGCGTCAACACTGAATATAAAAAAATGTGAATTAATGACATGCATTTTAGCTTTCTTGCATGAAAAGATTGGGTGCCAATTTTAGCTGGATAAAATGACTTATTTTTCATAATTACTCATTATCCATGAAATGAAAAGTGTCCAGGAGAAAAACAGCTCATTTAAGATATGAACAAAAGCTAATATGATGTAACCGAGAGAAGGGGCACACAGAAGAAGGAAAAAATATTCCATTTTAAAACTAATAGTAACTGATCAAATGCAGCCTAGCAACCGCAGCAGTTTCCAGAAAGTACATTCAGGAATTATGCTTGCTCGGTCGTGCATTTATCCTCCTGGTCTCTGACCCATTTAAAGTTACATTTTACTCATGTAATACAAAGTGATCTGGGCACATTTTAACTAAATTAGCATGGAACCATAATAAATGTCACACATTTTAAGTAATGTTATCTTTGCTTTGGCTTCACATTAATGCATATTTCCGAAAAACCTTTAAACCACTGCACTATGTATAGGACTATACAACTTAATAATAAGTGGTGAATGAGTAGTTATACATAGCTGGTGGGTCTGCAGAGAATTCCTAAGCTGAAGGCTAACAGGTAAGGTTGTAATAAAAAAAAAAAAAAAAGAGGTATATCTTTAATTTCAAATCATGTTATTTTTACACAGAGCGAAATCATTGGCAATTATAGAGGGTTATTCACAAAGGAGCCGGAGGATTATGCCGAAGCATCGGCTAATCCTTGGCTCACTTCGGCCGCCGGAGCCCTTCGATTCAGCCGAACCAAAGGGCTGCTGTACAGGCTATTCACAAATGGCTTGTGCAGCAGCCAAAGACAGTCGAACGTCTCAGCCGAGCCAAACGCATATGCTTCAGCTTGGCTGACTTGAAGTCACAGCTGAAGCGGGGAGAACGGTCTGCCGTAGCAGACCGTTCTCCGCAAAATGTAAACTTATGGGCAGAGCCAGCCGTGCTCTGCCCAGTTGTTGTCATTCAGGTTATTTAAGGATACTGGGCTGTCATTGAATGACAACTGGGCGAAGCCAACCGTAACATCACGACTGGCTCCGCTAGAGATCCAGGCAGCACAGCAATGGAGGACAGGCAGATGCTCCACCATTTGTTACAATCAATGGTATATCTTTCAATCTGTGGTCCACCTTAGATATTTTAGGCATGACTCCCACCAGCTGGGAAGATTTAAAGCATCATGCGGGTGAAAGATATGAAAGTAAAGTAATATGAAAGCCCCTAATGTAATCATGTATACCCTCAAAAATACCGCAGTCTACTGCAATGTGCAAATATTGCTAAAGACACATTTCAATCAGCCACTGTTTGCTTTACAGAAATCAAAAGGGAGATTTCTGAGTATTGGGATCTCTGATTTGTACATGAAATACTAATTGTTTTAATGAGAAGTAAATAGACTTTCTATACACAATAAGGGATTCAATCTAAGGTCCCAAACACTGCTCACATTTTTAACTGACATCTGAAATTGATATTATAACTTTGTTTTCAACATGCAATGATTGATGAATACATAGTAAATGAACAAAGTAGATTACAGAAAATGAGAGCTAGGAAATCACTTTCACATTAACTAGATGCTAATTCTTTGACTGTGTCTGAAATTAATGTATAAATTAATCACCACATCAAACTATTGACAACATAAAGTTTTACATGTTTAAAAGGAAATTTACAAAAAAAACAATGTTTATTGCTAGTATGAAATAGTCTATACCAATTATAGAAGCTACATTAGACACACACACAAAATACAACACACACACCGGCACACATATACTGTGTATGTTTGCGTTTAAGTGTGTCTGCTTTCCAACTTTGTGTATTTACACATCTAAGTTATCTTAAAATCATAATTCAGCTCCCCTGTCTGTATGTCCACTTTTGTGCAGTTTGTATGTCTTGTGTTCATAATGACAGTTTTTCCGATTTCAATGACAGTATTTCCGGATAAAAGTGGGCTAATACATAACATGAGCAATGTCTTTTTCCAAACATGGTCTAGGTTTACGACTACGTAATGAACAAGAAATAATGAAAATGCTTCAATACACATCCAGGTACAATAAAGAGGTGTGTGTGGGCATTCTAGATAAATTGGATGTATTGGAACAGCCATTATGTAACCTAAACATGGGATTTATATTAGGTTGGACCTTACTTCGGCTTGAGGACCATTTTTGCTATCTAGTTGTCTAAGTATCTAGACATTTTTGCTATCTAGTTGTCTAAGACGCGCGCGAGCAGAAAAAAAATGCCGTCTGGCGACGGCAACCCGCGAATGCGACAGTGCCGTCCGTCCGTTTTTCTTCTACGGGCGGACGGCAACTGGTTAAAGTCAATTTTTTGTCCCTCCCCCCAATGTTAATGTCAGCACTTACCTTAAATGATGTCTCTTAATCCGATCTTCAGCTTCTTTCCTGTCCTTTTCAGCCTTCTCTCCAGCCTCTCCAATGATTATGTGAATTGTGCCAAGGCAAGGCTATTTTCACTGGTCAGTATGTTGAGGCTGCCATATCTCCTTCAATGCCCTTACTGGGGGCTGTAGTTCAGGCTCCCAATTAGCTATGGGACTCGGGTGTTGCTGAAACCTCTAACTCAGTGGTATTACTGTTTCTAAATATATTCCTCTATAGGTGCAGTAAATAATTGTAGCTGTATTATTGTTCTAGGACTGCAGTCAGAATGTAGAAGTGAATGTATGTATCCACATAGAAAAAAAAGGCAGCTGTGCCACCTGCAAGCACTGATATTGTCCATCTGTGTTTCATTCCATCAGGATTAAAGGTGAGGAAAGAAGTGATAACGTTTTTTTTTTCCTTTATAAATTGGTGCAATGGTCAAATAGTTTCTCAAAACAATGAAAGTAGCAATCTACTTCTGTCGCCCTTTAATCAAAGTTTAAATGGTCCCAATATACCTTATCCAGCTCTACAATCTTTAAAGCGGGTTCATGCATCACGTTGTTCCTGACATGTTCTTCTGCTCTGAACAAAGCCACGTAATGTTCATGAGCTTCCATTTCTTCAGCTTGAAAGAGTAACAACCAGTTAAGAATTAGTGCAAAGTCAATGGCATTAACGTTTCATTCAGTCGCTTAAGTGAAGTCAATAATGATGCAGCAGGGGCATACTAACCTGTCAAATCATTGCACACATCTAGTTCATTCTCAGATACAGGTGGCGAATATATCATTTTATCCATCTGTTTTCTTGGGAACCAATTAACTGGAGTTCTGGAAAAAAGACAAATATCTCAGTTGATGGAGAAAATAATGTGGTAATTTCCTAAATGTTCCCTCTAAGCTAAGTTCTCTGGGCATGAAGATTAAAACACCTTAAATCATAAATCCGTAAATTCCAGAGCAGTGCAATGAAAACCAGCAAAATTCATTTCTATAAAGGTTCTATAAGCATTTGAGTGCTTAGGATCACTAAGGCTTTTTGCCTTCATATTCAATAACAGCTGTATGGCCTAGACCAGCTCATTTTCAATATTACCTCCCCCAGAACTCAACTTAATATAGGTCAAATAATGCCAAAAAAAATCATACAAAACAAAAGATTTGTATTTAAAGAAAAACTCCAGGAAATATAAAAATGAATCCTTGCAGTGGGGCTACCCCCGTTCTAGAAGGGTTAACTGTTCTTTTGGTCTAGGGGCTGAAATAGAGAAAAAGAAAAATGCTATGGCACACAAATAGGAGCATTCCTTCCTGTGCTTCATGTGTCAGTCAGGATGATAGAATAGAGCTGGCAAGCACAACACAGCCTGACACTTGCACACAATCATTTAAAAGCAGACCAAACAGATTCAAAAATGATTCTAGGTTTAGATGAGCTAATTTGCATATCAGCAGCCTCTCCAGCTTCACAAACCCAAACAAGCCCTAACCCAAGTACAATTTATTCTTAAAGTATATGTAAAGCTTACACTTTATTTATTTTGGATGGAGTATGGAATGGTTAAACCCTGACAGGTTTCTTTTGCCATATGTGTCCCATTCAAGAAACTGCCATGTAGATACATCAGGTAGTGACAGGAAATCTCTCTGGTAAGGTAAATCCTGTTTTAAGCCTGTCACGCATGGATTGAATTTTGGATGATTCCTGCAGAATGAGCTGAAATTTGATTGGTGGGCAGCCTTATCTGCACCGTCCTTTTCAACAAACTTTGATCTGAAAATGAAAGGAGCTGGGCAGGCAATTCTCAGCCAAACCTCAGGCAATCGCATGCATTTACCGTTCAGGTACTTTGACAGCCACGGGTGCTTGCTGGCTGTGAAAATATGGTAAAACAGTGGGTAGCCCATATAGGCTGTTTAGCATGGATGGGGAAACCAAGTGATTTCTCTCACTCGCAGGGCTGAACAGAAGCAATTTTAATGTGCATAGCTAACTTTAGACCGGTGTTTTTTAACCTGTGTAACCTCAAGACCCACATTTATCCTTGGTCATTAAGTTGCGACCCAAGACGCACAGCACTGGAATGCACAGTATTGTGGTACCACACGTTACCGTGGGCGATCGAACTGTGGGCAGGAGGTGTGTTTGGGCCATTCAAATAAATCATTTTTTTTTCAAGATCCACCCAGTCTCCCTGCCTACGAGAACTGGAGTGGTTCCTCAGCCTGGGGTCCAGTGTGGGGTACTGTGCTGTGACGCGAGGGAGCTCCATCCATAAATGCATTGCTTGTACAGCTCCCTTGTGCACTGTAGAGGTGCTGAGAGCCAGAATGTGACATCACTCTGGTCCGGGCACCTCTACAGGGCACGTAAGGGAGCTGTAAGCAATGCACGTATGGATGGAGCTCCCTCGCGACCATACCCCCAGGCCACAGCACCTCAAGCTGACACTCGGCACCGAGTGACAACATTTTGAATGGCTGCTTGGTGCGAGAACTGACAGTGTTGTGCTAGGAGGAGGCTGAGGAGCTTCTAACCTAGCACAGTGGAAGGCACGCGGTGACCACACTGAATGTGGGGTTGTGACCCACTTTTTGGTCGCAACCCACAAGTTGAGAGCCACGGCTTTAGAACATTGTTGGAAAATTACAAGAGTTCTCCTGTAATCCTGTTCTGGTGACAGCTTAAAACTTTAGATTTTCCTTCAATTTCAGCCATATACTTTGCAAACCTGTTGCAGCTGGCTGACCGGAAATACAGATGGATGGGGGTCCCAAATATACTATAAACCTGTCACAGAGACCTTGCTTAGTCAGAAGTAGCCTGATTTGCATCTAACTGTGTTGCTAATTTGCTGATCAAGGGACATCCTGATTTGGCTCTGTTTGCCTGCAAGGTGACTCCGCTCCTGCATGTTGATTCTGCACCTTGCTGCCCGCCAGTTGCCAACCCAGTCCGTCTGACTCTGCTTCTGTCTTGCCATCTGGCCTGCTGCAGACAGTCTATTTCCGAAGGTACCCTGCCTCCAGCTACCTGCACCGTCCCTCCTGCACCAGCAGTCCTGCATCAGCTTCATGCACTTGAGCCTCTCTCAGTTCCTTGCATTCCCTGTACCACCTTCAGGGGAGCTCTGACAAAATCTGCAAGGGGCAGCCTCCCTCATTAGGGACAAGTCATAGGTCCGGCTGGTTACTGGATACAATAGCCGTCAGGGGGTATTCCTTCATCCAGGCTGTTTGTGGGGGAATTGAAGGATTTCTCTTGTTCAGCCCGCAGGCTGAATGAGAGGAATCTAAAAGTGTATGACTATCTTTAGAAATGCTAAAAAATACTTTGTAAACACATGCGTATAAGTTTATTTTCATAGCAGCTAATTTTTTACACAGATTGCGTACAGAAAATAAATCTGTCCCTAACTTGCATCATAAATGAAAGAAGAAGCATTTCTTAGCAACGGCAAACAAGACAGCTTTGATGAAGGTCCACAAGTGTGTGTGTGTGTGAGTGTCTGTGTGTCTGTGTGTGTCTGTGTGCTCTCCACAGCCAAAACCACACTCCATCTTTATATGTCCTGTGGTCATTAAGTGGTTAAGTCAATCCCAATATGTCTGTAATTTGAACTACACTAATAACCTAACATGTATGTTTCTGCCTATATGAGCAAATCCCTTTATCTCTCATCTTTGCATTACATACAGTATTGTTTGGAACCTGAATTTCATGCTTGGTGCTTAACTTATTATGTGCCTGGTTGGTTTTTACTATCAGTGTAATCCATATGTGAATATAAAAACAGGAGTTTGAGTGGGCATTGCGCCAGCGCAAGCACAAATCAAAACAAACAAGGCCAGTGTAAAAATAATAAGAATAGTGTATGCATCTGAGTTGAGTCAAGGATTTCCTGCAACATCTCTTTCATGATGTATTTTTCACAGTGCTGTCAAAATGATAACTTGTTGCTAGTTGTTATAATCAAACAGTTCTATTTAATGTACTAATAAAATGCAAGACCTTGTTCAGTCATGAAATAAAATGTGGTTCACAAAGAAAGAATTACCTTAGATCTATGCTATTATTTTCAAAAATAGAACTGTGTATAAAAGAGTGTGAAAACACTTGAACTGTTGCCAGCAGTATTAATTATAAAGTCATTAGTGCAAATGTAAAGCATTGGACCTCATTTATATAAGTACACTATATTGCCAAAAGTATTGGGAGACCCCTCGAAATCATTGGATTCAGGTGTTCCGTGAAATTTCCTTGCTACTAAACATTCCACGGTCAACTGTTAGTGGTATTATAACAAAGTGGAAGCAACACGAAACAACAGCAACTCAGCCATGAAGTGGTAGGCCATGTAAAATGACAGAACGGGGTCAGCACATGCTGAAGCGCACAATGCGCAGAAGTCGCCAACTGTCTGCAGAGTCAATAGCTACAGACCTCCAAACTTCATGTGGCCTTCAGATTGGCACAACAGTGCGTGGAGAGCTTCATGGAAGGGGTTTCCATGGCCGAGCAGCTGCATCCAAGCTTTATATCCCCAAGTGCAATGCAAATAGTCAGATGCAGTGGTGTAAAGCATGCCGCCACTGGACTCTAGAGAAGTGGAGACGTGTTCTCTGGAGTGACCAATCACGCTTCTCTGTCTGGCAATCCAATGGACGTGTCTGGGTTTGGCAGTTGCCAGGAGAACGGTACTTGCCTGACTGCATTGTGCCAAGTGTAAAGTTTGGTGTAGGGGGGACTTTGTTGTGGGGTTGTTTCTCAGGGGTTGGGCTTGGCCCCTTAGGTCCAGTGAAGGGAACTCTTAAGGCATCAGCATACCAAGACATTGTGGACAATTTCATGCTCCCAACTTTGTGGGAACAGTTTGGGGTTGGCCCCTTCCCATTCCAGCATGACTGCGCACCAGTGCACAAAGCAAGGTCCATTAAGACATGGATGAGTGAGTTTGGGGTGGAACTTAACCGGGCCTGCACAGAGTCCTGATTTTAACCCGACAGAACTTTGGGATTGGAGACTTGCAGAATTGGAGACTACGAGCCAGACCTTCTCGTCTAACATCAGTACCTGGCCTCACAAATGCACTTCTGGAAGAATGGTCAAACATTCCCATAAACACACTCCTAAACCTTGTGGACAGCCTTCCCAGAAGAGTTGAAGCTGTTATAGTGGCAAAGGGTGGGCCAACTAAATATTGAACCCTATGGACTAAGACTGGGATGTCATTAAAGTTCATGTGCGTGTAAAGGCAGTCAATCAACTCCAGTCATTGTTTGGATATCCTGACAACAAGCTTAGACCCCTTTCACATGTTCCAATCAGAAGGGGATCTAAGCACAGATCTCCTGCTGATCAATTTTTCACAAGCAGAGTCCAGCAGCATGGACAGTGGGAAAGGTAAATATTGCCTCGGTATGTGCTTGCTTGATATAGTTAATGTATGTGATAAAGTCATTATAAAGCATAGTAATCTGCACACCATTTAGGATTATTTTCAGCAAGTCAGCATTTATTATAAATCATTATACATAATTGTCATTCAGGTAGAAATTAGACAGCACTTTATATTTTATTGAACAGACCATACCTTCTGTGTTTTTTCAACATCAATGTCTCCATGTAACTTAAGCTGTTGTCTTTAAATTCAACTTGGAATGGATTTCCTAATACAGTCGGAACAGTCTGAACTGCTGAATTGTCAGAAGAATCTAGAGAACAAAATGAATCTTTGAAAACAGAACACTAATGACATTTCACATAAGCAAATGATTTCTAAAATAAAATCATGCAGTATTCTTTCTTAAAGTCAATTTCCAGTTTCAAGCACAGAAATGTATGTTTGCAGACAGGGGAGATTCTGGCCTACCGCCTTCCAGGTTGGCTATGTATCAATTAATTTTTCGAACTAAACTAATGGAACATTATCTTAACCCCTTCACTACTGGAGACGTACACTCTACGTCTCCATCGTGAAGTGCCCAAAAGACTGCTCACGTACACTGTATGTGAGAAGGCGTTCGGGACTCAGGAATGCCGGTAACCACTGAGAATCAGTATTGAGGCATCCATTAATGAAATAATTAGACTTTTGTAAAAGCTTAATTCTTTTAATAATTAAAGAATTAAGCTGTTACAAATTCCGGATCGCTATCAGTGATCCGGTATTTCACAGCTGAAATACCAGAACGGTGTGCACACCACTCTGCTTTTTCAGTTTTGACAGCTGTGTAGAGATCAGGGCTTCCCCATGTGTACAGGCTGTTTGTTATATTCTGCCAGGATCGGTTTATTAAGGTTATTATTGGCTGTTCCTAAGTTTGGAGCAGCCTACAAATAACCAGAAAGTTTAAAAAATAATACATTATCAAGCAGTCATAGTGACTGCTTGATATAATTGACACAAAAGTGTAAAAAAAAGTGTAAAAAGAAAAAATTACAACTGCAGATTTGATTTTTACCCTAAGGGGTTAATTTTTTTATTTAACCCCCTCATGACAGCATTGTTTAAAGTATAGCACTGGCCATAAGGGTGACAGTTAGTGACACTTAATGACAGTGATATCGTAGGCCACCTAGCCTAACCACTATTAGTTTAAAAAAAAATAAAAAAAATAAATGTCAGCTTTTAGTTTTAGGCTGAGAAGTACAGAAAAAATTTCTGAAATCTAGGGAAGTGCGGTGTTTCCAAATAAAGGACAAATAAATGAATTAATTTTAATGCATTTTTTGTAGCTGTGCTATTTTTCTAAAAAATAATAATAATCAAAACTAGGGAAAAATTATTTTATTTATGTTTTTTCCTCTTTTATTATATGTTATTCTTACTAAGTGAGGCGTTGGCCGCACATATGTGATATAAATATATAGCCCAATCTGTCCTCTTAAAAACAATATATAATATGTGTGGGTGCACACAGTATATTATTGCGGTGGAAGAATCACACAGCAAATATGTAAAAAGTGCGTCAGTCATTTACGAACAGAAACTGAAAAAAAAGCTGTTATGAAGGGGTTAAAGGAAACCTGTACAGTTACAGAAATATGGAGGCTACCATCATTGAGCTACTCCTGAAAATGTTACAGGGATATTGACAAAAGGGTCAAGAGATTGGAAAAGTCAGGAGAAGTGAACAATCAAGGACAACATAGCTGAACTGTTAAGTGAGCTGAATTGGAGAATTTTTCCAAATCAGCTATGTTGTCCTAGATTGTTCACTTCTCCTGCCTTCTTCAAACTCTTCACCCTTTTGTGAATAGCCCTGTTAGTTTGCGAAACGTCTTTGGATTTATAGGTGGATGAACCAACCCGGGAAAAACATGCAGATTTGAAAAGTCAGAGTATATTTAGAACTTCTGATCTGTATGCTTGTCCCAAGTCAGTGACTCATAAAGTACAGAAAGCACTGGATCAACATGATAGGCAGGAAACTAGTATGTTCAGGATTGGAAGTCAGCAAAGGCAAACTCCATGTGTGTTCAGTATAGGTTTCTTATTTGAAAAAAAATGTCAATAAAACTGTATGTACTGAAGTAAAATTTTAAATCTTCTTTCTATAAGCAGAAAAGAAAATTCAGAACATTGGAAGGAAGTTGTAGGCACGTTACTAGAGAAATGCAGGAGAAGCAGATTACCAGATGTTACAAATGTGAACCATGCTGCCAAAGACAAGAACAATGTACATGCACCATGAGTGAACCTTTGTGCCCTCAGGAGGTGTTTGCCATTATGTGCTAGTATGCAAAGCATTTTAGCATATTATGTCACACTTACCTTGCCCTTGCCTTACCTTACCCTCCAGCGCTGTGATGTCAGCAATAACCTCTGCCTCCAGCGCTTCCATCTTCTTCTGGTTTTGGTGTCTTCAGCCTCTTGATTGGCCAGGTTGGGATGATGTAACTCCCCATGCATGTGCAGAGTTACTTCATTCACCACAGAACTTTGCCAAGTTTGTGCATTGAGCTGTGCATGTCGGCTTGGTGCACACAAACTCTGACAGGTAGGGAGCAAGTATTTATGACAGAAGAGATATACAGAGTCTCTTCTGTCATAAAGACACTACCTGTCGGTGGTTTTTTTTCATTTTACTTCCACATTAGAGCTCCAGTCCATGCATTTTTTATGTTTTCTACAGAGCTAAGAAGGGCAACAACCTCGGTCTGGTTTTATTACTGTCTGTGACACTACTCTCTTGCTGTCCCAGTTACGGACTGCCACAGGCCCTGGAAATAACTGGGTTTCTTCCCAGTGGCACAACAACAAGAAAACCACTTTTTCAACAGACTGTAGAAGGATCAGAATTTATGTTGGGCTTTGACTGCTGTCTGCAGCTTGCAGTCCAGCTAACATATTCCCTCAGTTTCTTGTTATTGTCACCAGGAGAAAATGTGCAAGCAAATCTCTCCAATTGGGTCACAAACAATATGAACAAACCCTTTCCTATTCTTTTCAAAACCTTCACAAAAAAAATGTGGCTGGAGTTGGGTGTAAATCATAACATCACCACCAGGTCAACAGAAGGCTGCTCAATCTAATTGAAATATCTCATACACAGAAGAAAAAAAAGATGTGCACTAATCCAGTAAAATGTTTCACACAGTGTAGAGAAATCCCAGAAAAATAGGAAGTCAGTACATCTGATTATCTTAAAATACTATCTGCATAAGTGTTCATCCAGTAACAGTCCTGGCATATTCTGTATATCAGGGCTCAAAAGTGGAAATTTGGGTCTCCAAGTACCGGTCCGCGGGCCAACCGCGGCCCGCGAGCAGGTACTATGTGGCCCGCAGACAGCTGACATGTCAGGCACGCGATCACAGACCGCATACCTGACTTGCGGGAGAAGCTCCACGGTCTGCATCTGTTTCAGATGCAGACCGCAGAGCTGCACCTGTCAGCTCCGGCTTCCTTCGGCCGGAGCTCTGACAGTTCTGAGCTCCGGCCGAAAGCAGGGATGTGTTAGTGAGGTCTGCAGACCTCATTAATCACCCCTAGATAACCGGGGATCTATCCTCCTCAAGACTCCTCCCTGCAAAGCCTTGAACAGGTGTGAGGGCTCGCGGGGAGTATATTATTGTTTTGTGTGTGGGGGGTTAATAAGGGGAAGGGGGAGTGTTTTATTTTAATTATATTATATGTGTGATGTGTGGGGGAAAAACGCAACAATTCTATCAGCAAGCTGGATGGTTGGATGTAATACTGCACAACTAGCCAGCTACACAGTAACTGTATGGGCTGCCAGTCAATCTATTCATCCAATTGTGGATGTACAAGCCTATACAGCTTTTATCTTAGAATTTATTCATAGTCCTTTGCACTAACGCAATCTGACCAACCTTAGGACAAGCTGTTTGCAGAGCACTCCATCTGTCTAATTCAGGGGTGAGCAACTCCGGCGCTCCAGCTGTTGTGGAACTGCAAGTCCCATGAGGCATTCCAAACATGACAGTTACAGGCATGACTCCCAGAAGGAGAGGCATGTGGGTAGTTGGTATTTGTTTACTTAAACTCCTCAGAATTATATATTTCCTGAAAGCACATATCATGCTTGATCAGCTTCTTCCAAGCTTCTCTAGCCAGATAACGAAAGCTGAGAATCCGGAACTGATGCAGTCAGTACCACTCCCAGCTTCATTCAGCGGGGCGGAGATCAGCAAATGGACGTTCACTTGTCTGTCTCCCTGCTAACCGCGAACACACGCGATGCTGGTCCCAAGGTGAGGGGTGTTGGGTAGGGGGGTTCCGTTTAGCAGCCCCTGGAAGTAATCTGGCAGCTTTTCAGCTGGCAGAATCACTTACAGTGTAAAGCCGACATTGGGCTCTACACATTTAGAAAGACTACTGGTGGCTATATCCGGTGGGAGTCTGTTTACAGGTGCCCACAATCAGCGCCATAAGGCATATGGCGCTGGCAGTAAAAGGGTTAAGCCACAAGTGGAGGATCGAAGTTGCACACCCATTGTCTACTCTGTCTGATGGTTCATTTTCCTCAAGAGTGCATGACTAGCAGGGTTTGTGGCTGTCTAGCAAGGTTAATGGCTTACCAAAGGCATGAAATCATCACCTGATCCAGGCAGAAACAAATGGTCATCTCATATCTAACGTACCTAATTTTCCCTTGCAGTTTCTAATAATCTATGAATAACAGAATGGACAGGGAGAGTTGCATTTGCCTTTCCCCCCAGTACATATAGGGCTGCCCATTCCCCTCAGTATTTCTAGCAGCCATACAACTGGTTCTTTCTGGGGGAAAGCATAACACAGCATAGAAAAAGTCTTCAACAAAGCAGCTGCACAGGCAACACTGAAACACTGATCTGCCTCCCCATTGTTATATAATAAAGTGCCGCCTGAAACAAAACATTCACCCAGCATTTATGTTTGAAGGACAGATCATTTCTGAGTGTCTGCTATGCATGTTAAGCCATATAACAAATTGATTATTTCCTATATGCAGTTCCTAAAAAAGAGCATATAGGCATGGGCTGGCTGACCCATCAGAGCACCAGAGGATCCTCTAGTGCCTGGAGTATGTGGCCCCAAAACATGACATAACAAATACCTAGTAGAGGCTGTCATTTCTACCTGTCAATGTCATTCTCTTTGCTCACCTGCTTGTTTGAGTTGAGCCTCCCACCCCTGGGGCTCCCAGCCATGTTATTCCCATCAATGAGTACTGTGCGCAACAACTTCAGCAAGTGTTACATGATT